GTGTGTGTGTGTGTGTGTGTGTGTGTGTGTGTGTGTGTGTGTGTGTGTGTGTGTGTGTGTGTGTGTGTGTGTGTGTGTGTGTGTGTGTGTGTGTGTGTGTGTGTGTGTGTGTGTGTGTGTGTGTGTGTGTGTGTGTGTGTGTGGGGATGTAAACCTCTCATAACTTTTGAACGGCTTGGCCGATTTGATCGCGGTTGGTGCCATTCGAAAGGGCTTGACCAAACTTAGATTACCAATACACTTTGGACCGATTCGGACGGGTAGATTTTGAGAAATCGCAAAAAAACTACAAAAAAAATTTTTTTCAAAAGTGGTTTTTTTGGAATAACTTTTAAACGGCTATACCGATCAATTTTAAAAACTAATCAGCTCTCAACTTCAAAAAACCACGTCAATCGCCACCAGTCCGGTCAAAATCGGTTAATTCGTTCGTGAGTTATCGTTGACGAAAGAAAACCGAAAAAAGCGTTTTTTCGGAATTACTCCGAATTTTTCCACTTTGTCAATATAAACTCAAAGATTTTTTATGGAGCTTAAAAAACTGCGTCGAATACCACCAACTGCGTGAAAATCGGTTCATTCATTCAAAAGTTATTGCGATTCGAAAATTAAAAAAATAGTGTTTTATGAAACTTTTCAAAAGCATACAAAAGCGATTTTTTTTTAGCTTGGAGAGCTCACAAATTGTATTTATCAGCTCGAAGAGCTCTAAAATGTCATAAGTGCAATTTCAAGCGTTTAGGTATAGAATTGGCGGGAAGTTGCAGGGATGGCCTTCAGGGTCAACCGTATTCCTAATTTTTTTTTATAAAAATTTCGTTAAAAAATTTTTTTTTTTAAATGTCAGATGTTTGTTATCTTCAGTATGATTTTTGAGCCTTACGTACCTTTAGTTTAAGGCTGTTGAAAATTTATTTTCACCAACTGCCATGGTGATTGCGACCAAGAAGAACTCTTCAGTAGCAGATTTGCTAACGCAGTTGCATCGTTGCACAAAAATAGTCGTGCTCGACTATTTGGCGAATTATGTGGGTTATAATTGTTGTCTTCATCAACGCTGTGGGAGTTGAACAGCATCATAAAATTGGTCCCGCGTCCGGCTACAACTCTGAAAGACACTGTCTTGCTTTCGCCAATAAATAAAAACCCACATGACGGCTCGTTTATTTTGATGCATTGGCTGATTCCGTCCCTGAGCTGTTCAGTTACGTTCGCATTATTAAAATATTCGGCTGCTACATCATGTATTTCAAATTCGACGAATGCATTTTGAAACGGTATGGGCAACAGCTCATCAACATTTAAATATGTTGACGGAGGATTGAACCCTAGAGCTGCATAACAAAGCTGGTAATACTCGTCACCTTTGATTATTATTTCATCAAGCAGCTTCGAATCAATGTCGTATTTCCTTTTGAGTACAAACGTCATGATTGCATAAGTTGCAATAGCAGTGCACTGGGAGTTAATGTTTTTATGAGGAAATACATTCAATAAAGCCTGATGAAAACTCGCTGATGCAGTAAGAAGAAATTCTTTCCTCCTCGGACCTCCTGAAACAGTGGCTGTTGGGATGGTGATCGGTGTTACAGATTCGACTTCGACGACAGAAACAGCAGAAGACATGATAGCGTCAACAATTTTTTGTCGACAGTTTTTCATGTCTTTCTGAGTAAAGTCGAAAATTTCTTTTCCTTGACACACAGCCTCTGCGTACATGCATGCAAAAACACCACAATCGTAGCTATTGTACTGCCGAGGAATGTTCTGTAACAGTAAAAAATTTAATTTCCTAAGATTCTTCGAGACGTTAAAAATACAATTGACTTCATTCAATGATAAATTTATTATACTAGGAAAATCATTTTGAAGAATCAGATTATCGTAAATCAAACACAAAATTATTGAAATAAGAAATTTTTCTTCATTTCAATAAATTTTTTTTGATTCAACAATTAACCTTCTTAATTCCAGAAGTTAAAACTCTTCAAAGTAATTTTTTTAGCACAAGAATTTTTTTCTTGATTTCAGACAATTCTATCTTTTGTTTACTTCAGCAAATTTTATTACCTTAGGATTGTCCAAAAAACTTCCTGTTTCTGCCGCACACGAGCTTCTTCTATCATGTACTTCTGTATACACTGAAAACAAATACATCAATTAAAGTTACTTATATTATAATCAATTTTTATTTTTTTTACTGTCCTTCTCAAATGTAGCTCACGAATCAAATTTACTTGACGGAAAAGATGAAAAAAGTTAATTTGATTGTTAATAAAAATTCTTTTACAACAAAAATCTTTTTTCTTCATCTCTTCGTCCAAAGAACGCTTTTGTTAACCTCATTTTGCTTGAGGAAGAGTGATCTTTGTAGCCGTACGAATTTTTTGGATCGAATGTCGTATGCCTTAACGTAAGTGATATGAAAGCCTCATTTTCAACTTGGCTGTCATATCACATACGCGAAATATTCTTTCTATCATTGTACAATATTAACCCATATAAATTTTACTAGCCCTGTTTAAAAATATTCATTGAAAAAAATTCACTGTAATAAGATTTGAATTGTTTTCAATAATTTCAATTGATTTCAATTTTTTAAGTATATATCTACAGATACATAATTTGCATAGAGAAATTTTTTTTAATAAATAATTTTAAACTGGGAGCTTCTTCATTATGTACATTATATATCTCGTAACAAACAACAAAAAGGCGTACCCCAATTTATTAACAATAAAAAATTTTTTTCTCGTTATTTTTCGAATATTTTGCTAATATATTTTGACCTGAAAAAAGATAAGTTTTAAGTTCCAAATGATTTACGTCTCAATTTATATATTTGAATGACTCGAACAGTGAAAAGAAAAAACAACAATATTTTCATTATTAAATGGCTACCTGGCTATAAAAGCACGAAATTTCAAAAATTTTAATTATTTTTACAAAATATCTTACAGTTAAATAGTTTATATTTCACCTTTATCGTGATATTGTTCCATCGATGCTGCATTATTTCATGTTTTAGAATAAAAAACATAATTTTTACTATGCGCCCTTTCGGCTTCAAGAAAAATTCTCCTAAAACCAAAAAAGCGTATATTTTTTACATACGACCTTTTTGCGTTAGTAACTCAAAATTTTTTTTTACTCATCTTAATGGTTTGGACAATTTTGAACTGATAAGCAAAAAAAAATTTTTTTGGTTTGCCTCTATTGCCACAAAACCGTATCTTACGATAGGAATAGCCCTTTCGGTATTTGTCACGCCATATGTTGATATTGAATATCTTAAATTAGTTTCCTCAATAAACAATATTTTGAGTGGTATAAAAATTTTTACTCCCTAAAATTTCGGTTTTCTCAAAAATCTATACTTACGAACAAATATTCTTCAGTCTTATTAGCATACAGGCTGTTGTAGTGGGTGATGCGATTGTTTCGGCAATCTACAACGCACAAAGCCCAGTGGTTCGTCAGATGAGTGGGTATTATGAGTAGGTCCTTTTCGAAGATATTTATCTGAAATATACGATTTTGTTATTATTTTTTATTTCAAGGAAAATGTTCTTGTATGCTTGCGGCGTTGATTAATTTTTTTTTTTTTTTCTAATCTTTCGCATCGTATTTGATAATATTACTAGAAATTTGAATAACGTGGTATTCCCTTGTAGGAAAAAAATTATACACAATGGGGCCTGTCTTGGCACAAGACTGGGTAGCCCAGACTCGGCCTAACAATACTGGCCCATGACCGGATCACTACTCAACTGACAAGTCTCAGTTGGTCAGTTTTGAGCCAAGATCCACCCAATATCTATCTAACAAGTCTCGGTTTGACAGACTTGAGACAAGAGACAGCCACTATTGACATTGTTAAATTGTTAAAACTGTAAATTTGACAGTTTTTCTGTAATTTTATCATTTTTTTTTCTATGCAATATATACCTAAAAAAATTTCAAATCCGTTTCTGCTTTAACTGTAACGTCTATGTATAAATTATATTTTAGCAATATAAAGAGAAATATTTTACTGGCCAAATCGTAACTAACCACAAGTTCTCTATTTTCTTAAACCTATATAATTGTGTATTTTCTTAAATCGTGTAATTGTCGATCAGTTATACGAAGTGGCTAAAATTGTTAGGCAGTTCGTGAAATGCAATTAGGCCTTAGACAGATCGTGTAATGCTCCAAAAGTTCATGATATGTCTTAATTTTTTAGACAGTTCATGAAATGTCTAATAGCTGTTTTGCCGATCGTGAAATATCTAGGAATAACGGATTTCTAGAAAGGAAACAACTAAAAAAAAAGATAAGATATTAGTTGTAGCAGCCAATGTCATTTATTTGAAGAAAAAAATTACATTTTTTATTCATTTACTCATGGTAAACTCGAGTGACATCTACTATTATACAAAACGTTAGCTTTTTTACATGCACACCTTTTCGTAGTATATTGCACGTCAGAAGCTCTGCATGAGCATTGAAAAAATCCTTGCCCTCCACCACAATTTTTCACTGCTTCTCTAAGAGAAAGAAGTTTTTCCAAGTTTATGTCGTCACGTTGAAGGAACTGAGAACCAGCTGGAACAAGATTTTCTTTTTGATAAGTGGAAGTAGTTTCGTTGTCATGATCATTCTTACTGTTATTGCTTAAGATAACGTTTTGTATAATAGTAGTATCACTCGAGTTTACCATGAGTAAATGAATAAAAAATGTAATTTTTTTCTTCAAATAAATGACATTGGCTGCTACAACTAATATCTTATCTTTTTTTAGTTGTTTCCTTTTTAGAAATCTGTTGTTCCTAGATATTTCACGATTAGCAAAACAGCTATTAGACATTTCATGAACTGCCTAAAAAATTTAGACATATCATGAAATTTTGGAACATTACACAATGTGTCTAAGGCCTAATTGAATTTCATGAATTGCCTAAAAATTTTAGCCACTTCGTATAACTGATCGACAATTACACGATTTGGCTGTAGTTCATGAACTGTCTACAAATGTTTAGACAGATCATGAACTGTCTAATTTCACGATCAGTCTACGACATATACATATATAATAGATCCATGTTAAGACGTTATTGTAATATGGTACTTACGTTGATCACATGCGTTATAGATAATTTCATTTAAACGATTTTTTTTATCTTCATCGATAGTTCTAAGAGGTGCGGCACGTTTTCGTTCTTTTCCAGGGGTTTCTAAAACCCCTCCCTCTTCAACTAAATTAAAATATTTACAAACACTGTCCTTTCCAATCCCAAGCATTGCCATAGTTCTTTCCCTATAATATTAAGAAATTTGTGGTAAAAATGTAACTAAGTGCAATAAAAAAAATGCAACATAAAACAATGCAATATGGAAAAAAAATATAAAATCACACAAAAAAAAAAAACAAATGTACAGTTGCAACATAATAAGTAAAACGTACAATTACAAGACAAAAAAAAAAAAACATTATTTCAAGGCCTTAGGATAATAAGGGCAATAAATCGAACCTCTAAAAACATTAGGATTATCTTCTGAGATTATGTTAGTACACTAATAAAATACGTTAATCTTCTGTTGTAGATCTAGATCTGCATTGGTTTGTGAAAAAATAGAAAAAAAAAACCATCCTATGACCTTTAATTAAATATTGTCATAACTTCAGAACACTTGACTTAATCCATACCATCGCCATAATTATGAGTACGTTAATTATTAGTATTAATAGCATTATATAGAGTTATTTACAGCGAGAATTAATTTTGACTTGTAAAAGAAAGATAATTTTTTTCTTAATTAAAAAAAATAAAAGAAAAAGTTCGGGAAAATCTAAAAGTGCACAACTCATAATATTCATTAAATTGAGAAATATTAATAAAATAAAGAACGTGAAAAAAAATATACAAAACAGCTAAATAGCACGAAAATACACAAGCACCCCTAATGGAATAAATGTACACAATATGTAAATATGCAGTCTACTGCTTTTTGTTTTATTTTATTAAACCTTTCCCAGCTCAGAGTATCGGTGAGTCTAGGTGTGAGTCAAGTGGGGATAGAGCCAATCGAAGACCGTTGTAAAGCTGTATGAGTGAAAGTTTAGTTGTGGTAGTGGAGACAAGCGTCCCTTTCTACCATTTTTCCGACCCCCTCTCTAGAAAACAGACTATAGCTCTCTCATTTAAGAATAAGACGTCCGATTCAAATTAGGAGTAGGGATTCAAGGTCGACCGGGAAAGGGTTAAAAATGTGCATCAACGACACTGAAGGACCTAGCCATTTGTATTCAGCGACCTAAAAGTCTTTCAACGAACTAAAAAATAAATTCAACTCAATTGATGCATTTTTTCGCAGGTTATAGTGTTTCCGGAGTTTCATTCATGACTGACAGAAAAATTTTTCGACCTATTTCTATATTTTTTTGCGTTTCTGTTGCACTAAATCAATTTTAGAATACTTTCAAATTAATAAGCATTAAATTATCTTGACAATAGTATGCAAAAAATCTTGAATCCGTGAACTAACAAAATTATCATAATAAAAACAGTTGCCAAAATAAGACAAAAAAAATATGTGTGTACCAGAGTACACAGGTAAGAAGTGAAACTTCTTTATGATATATCATTTTTTTATTATTTACAACTTCACAGTAATTAGGTAGATGAGACTTAAAAAAAAAATTTCCGGATTAAATGAAAGCTATTTTAGTATTATAGACATGCATACAAATAATATGAGTAATTTATTTTATCATTGCTCTTATCTATATTATTAAGAAAATAAGCGAAATTTAGTGGCTGGTGTATTTGTATGATAAAATGGGTTTTTATGGTTAAATTTGGTATCTTTGGAAAAGTTTTGACCTGGAGTTGTGCCTTTTTAAGGTTTCATATCATTGTCACCATGGTTAATTTATGATAAGTATTTAGGCTGCATATGAAAATGCTCTATTTCTACAGAAACAGAGATACATAGTTAGGAAATGACCCTGTATCTTGTAAACTATTGACGTTGTTAGAGATATAAGCTCATCCCGATATTACACTCATCAAGACCTTTCATTTAAGTACCCACATCAATTGTTTATATATTTATATGTATTATATATGTATATATGAAAAATATATCAAAATGCATGTGGGTACTCACATGAAAACTCTTCATGAGTGTAACATCGGGATGAGCTTATATTTTTAAAAACATCAATAGTTAAAAAAGTTTGGAAAATCCAAAAGTGCACGCCTCATAATCTCATTTTTCACAATAAAATTGATTAAAATAAAATATAAAAAGCAAAATAATAAAAAACAAAACTCTGCTATGGTTTAGTGGCGCCATAACTCTAAGGTGAGGAAAAAAAATACTATAATAAAATGTATAGATAGATATACAAAAAAATCCACAGTCATATATTAGTTTTCTATAAATAATAATTTAACGACAGTGAATTAAACGCTCATATTAATTGAGAAAATCCGTCGTGTTACTTTAGATAATAAAAAAAAAATATGTATGTGTATCAGAGTACACAGGTAAGAAGTAAAACTTCTTTATGACACATCATTTTTCTACTATTTATAACTTCATAGAAATTGGGTAGATAAAGCTTAAGAAAAAAAAATTTTTCCATATTAAATTAAAGATATTTCAATATTATAATAACCATGCATACAGATAATAAGAGTAATTCATTTTATCATTGCACTTATGATAATTATTGTATTTCATCGCATTATAATTAACATTGTTGTCATTATTTAGACTATGCCATTATTTAATCTAAAAATTATTTAATCAGTTTATAAAAATTATATAAAAAACATTAATATTCAAATCTTATGTCATAACATAGTAAAAATAATTAAAAGCAGATATTTAATAACTTACACACTGTTTGATTTTTAAATTATTATTTAATTTGTTGTTTTAATTGTTTTTAGAATTAATAATAATTACTAAATTAATTCTTTACGTCGCTATACGAAGCTTCGATAGAAACAAACAACATGGCGCGTAACCGAAAATCGTGACGATTTTTTATATATTGCTATAAAATTTCTCTCATACGTCGATAAAGTTTTACTTCAATAATAAAGAAACAATTATTAGTATAATAATTAACTAGTAAACGAATACACAACCAATAGGGCGTGTATTCTTTCTCGATATCCCGTATTCTCTCTCTCTCTTGTTCAATCTTTCTCACTATAGCTCTCTCCCACCTCACACTCCATAGCACTATGCGTGATACGACGTTCGCTCTGTCTCACTTTTTCTCTCAATCTTTCTCACTCACTTGCTCCCTACTCTCACTCCACGGCTAGTTGCTCATGCTACGTTCGCCCTGTCTTACTCTCTCTCAATCGGTCTCGATCACTCTCTCTCTCTCTTTTCCGACACTTCCGTTGCATACCGGCGTGACGTTTCATCTGTAAAAATTTTACCCTCATGCGCCTAAAGAAGTTTCACTTCAAAAAAATTGTTCCGGTACGATCATTTTTTCGACCAATTTCCCTGCCACATACACTCATCCATACACGGACGTCCAGAAAAAATTATGTTAAATGTTATTATTTACTATGTTAAGCAAAAAAATTGTTATTGAAATATATTTTATGTGCCTGACAAATTATTCGACTTGATATAAGTGTACTCATATTAACCTGTAAGTGCGATATAAATAACAAAAAATCAATTTCAGTTTCGAGAAAACTGCTTTTTTTGAAATGTCGAGAGTAGAGCACAACCTCAACGCTTCGCTTATGAGGCGTGCAAAAGTACAGTGCAATTTAACAAAAGTCATTATTCAATAAAGCAAAATTATATTTATTTATACTTCACAAGTCACGGCAGTTACAACCAAAATTAATACATCACGATTACAAAAAGCGTGCAATAACTATGTGGGTTGTGGTGTCGTACTTAACTTAGTCTGGCTCGAGCAGCAGGATTCCAACCGTGCAGAATGTTTTTTTTATCGTCTTGTAGCTTGAGCAAAAATTTTTGGCTATTATTTAAAAAAAAAAAAAAGATTTTTAATGAAAAATAGATTTGCTTAATTTAAATTCAGTAATTATATTGATTGAAGAGAAAGTTCTTGACCTAATAATAGAGGCTTATTAATTTAAAAGCAAAATTTGAAGACGGTCATATTTTTTGTTTCAGTATGAAGGTAAAAGACCCAGTTATTGACAATTACAATTTTATTTTAATTACAAAAATAAAATGTTCTAAAAAAAAACAATTATCTTAGAATTAATTATAAGTCAAAATGAGATTTATTGATTTGTTTTATTTAATCAAAATAAAATTGCACATCTCAATAACTAGTTCAGTATTAATAACTGGATTTTTTTTTACCATAGCAACATAGTTTAAGTACTATAAATATTTTTTTTTAACTGGAAAGTTACAGGGATTATTATTAAAATATATATATTGTAATTCAGAACTTTAATTTAGTTACATGTTTAAATTATTAAAACATTACTTCATAAAAATTTATTTAGGAAGAAATCTGAATATTTTTATATTTTTACTAATTCTTCTCCATTGAAAAACGAAAAAAAGAAAATTTTTCATACTAACCTTATTTCTCAGACTAATAAAAAAATTTACTTGACTCAAGAAAAAAAATCTTTGACTACGAATACCATTTTGAAGCAATTAATATTCTTGAGAAAAAAAAAACATTCATTAGTCAAGAAAATGTTATTCATGTAAGTAAATTTTTGATAAATTAACAATTTCTGCTATTGGCTCAAGATTATTACTTGTTTCGAAATTTAGATCTTGAATCGAGATTGTTCTCTTGAAAATTAAAATTTATCATTAGTGTGACATCATTCTGAAATTTTTTTTAAATCCTTACAGAACTTATAAACTATAACTTATAAACTAAGACAAATATTTAAATGAAAAATGGTAATCATTGAAAACATTTATTTGCTCAAAAAGTACAGATGAAGAAAAACGAAGGTTGGAATTTTATTTTAGTTTCTATTTCCACAAACTACATTCAAAAACAAAAGAAATAAAAAAGCCAAAAAAACATGTAAACAAAAAAAAAGACTAACCTGAGAATTGTGAGGAATTACAGAAAATAACAGAGAGTATAAAATCAACTAAGAATGGTACCCGTCCGAAAATTGTTCATCAGAAATAAAGAATTTTTTTTTTTTTTTTTTTTTTTTTTTTTTAAGTGCTTACTTTTAAAAACAAAAACTCTGAGAAATCAAAATAATTTGAATTTTTAATACATTATAGACATTTCGGAAAAAGAAATCATTTCCTAGAAAAATTCATTACTGTTCTTTTGGCCCGTTAAAAAAATTTCAAATAATTCTGAGAAGGTTTTTCTTTTTGGGGGAGATTAAAAATTTATGTCACATCAATAGGATTCAGAGAAAGGAATGGTTAATAATTTAATTATAATTTGATGTAGATTGCACTATACAATCACAGTCAATAATATTTTACTTCTTCGTGATGCATCTATCAATAGGTATAACAGAAGTATAATTCAGTAATTCTTTTTATAAATAGACGAATTTTTGAAATTATCCAAACTATCAAACTACCAAGTGGCCATAAATGAAATTACGCATAACTCATGGATCACAATACTGTACAGTCAATGCTTACATGTTTATCAAACGTGTGTGTACCAGAGTACACAGGTAAGAAGAAACTTTTTCATGACATATCATTTTTACCATCTACAACTTCACAGAAATTGGGTAAATGAGGCTTAAGAAAAAAAATTTTTTTTTGTATAAAATTAAAGCAATTTTATTATTATAGATCTGTATACAAATAGTACGATTAATTCACTTCATCATTACTCTTATAATAATCGTTGTATTTCATCGATAATGATCGCATCCTTATTGTTATTGTTATCATTATTTAAACTCAGCCATTAGTAAATCGAGCGAATTCACAAAATTGTTATTAATAGAATAATATATTTTTAAATACAGCCAAGTAAAAAAAATGAGAAAAACGGTAGACCCTGAAATACAAAAAAATACAATTTATGTGTTATTTTAAGCTCTCCGAGCTTAAAGAGATAGCTTTTCTATATAGCAATATAAGCATATGCTTTTGAGATCTTCGAGCTCAAATATTTGATAAAACACTATTTTTCAAATTTTCAAACCGCTGTAACCTTTGAATGAATCAGTCAACCAATTTTTACGTTTTTGGCGGCGATCGACGCGGTTTTTTGAGCTCTAAAAATTATTCTATTTCATCGACATAATCCGAAAAGAAATGTCGAAGTTATGTGAAAAAACACTTTCTTCGGTTTTCTTTGGTTCACGATATCTCTCAACCGAATCAACCGATTTTGACCGGATCAGCGGTGATCGAAGTGGTTTTTCAAACTCAAGGGCGGACTAGTTTTTGGGGTTGATCGATAAAGCCGTTTAAAAGTTATTCCAAAAAAACTACTTTCAAAAAAAATTTTTTTTCTAGGTTTTTTGAGATTTTTCAAAATTCCTCAAACGGGGTGAAAACAATAACTTTCCGATTTTCTAAAATCTTTCATTTTCTTAGCGGGAAGTTAAAAATAAACAAATGTATATTTTAACATTCGAATAAAAATGATTTTTAAATAAAGTATTATTATTATTATTTTGAGTTTTACTTGCATACCGTTTTCTGGTTTTTACAAGGTTACTTTCCCTTCTATGTTATAACCACAACTTTTTCAACCCTTTTTATTATCAACATATTCTCCACTCTTTTTTATTATCAACATATTCTCCACTCTTTTGTATAATCAACATGTTCTCCACTTTTTATTATCAACATGTTCTCCACTTTTTTATATTCAACATCCCGGGAAAAAATCATCATGCATGAACATGTACGATCAGGCGTTAATGTCATGCATGATCATGCATGTATATTTGCCAGACATGAGCTTGTATGGTCATGCATGACCAAGCATCATCAGAACTAATCAGTCATGATCATACTTTTCCATGCCTGGCAAACGCGGGAAAAATGACCATGCCTGATCAGTCATGAGCAGGTATGATCAGACGTGAACAGGTATGTTCATGTCTGACTGAATCAGGTCCATAAAAAAAAAAAATGGTGCCTAGAGGGGGATTCGAACCGTAGACGTCTCGCTCTCTAGACTCATCCTTTACCTGCTGACCCAACGGCTCCTCTTGACTTTGGAACATCTTTCAAACTACTTTAAGTAATTTAAATTTTATACATAACTTATAGTTAACGGAGTTCTATACCTAATTTATTAATTATTAATAATTATTTAATAATAATTTATTTGGGACGGCTGTGTATTTTTTTCGCTCCATTAACATATCGTTCTAAGTACAGAAAAAAAAAATTTCTTCAAGTTTAATTCCGTAATTGTAATTTTATTTTCTTCTTTTAATTTTGAAGTTTTTTTATTTAAAATCGATAGGAAACTTAAAATTGTTTGTGTGTTCTACAATTTAGCAGCATTTGATACTACCGCAATGGACCAAAGCGTAGCTTGATAACAAACATCTTGAAAGGACTTATCGCCTATCGATATCAACTGGTATATTTTGGTATTTGCACGCTATCAAAATTTTACAAGATAATTTTGTTTTTCATGTATTCAATGGAACACATTAAAAATTTTGCGTCATTGCAATGATTAAACAAA